CTGCCTGTGCCTTAGGATCTCTTGTCTAGGCCAGTTACACTGTTAGAGCTTAGTCCTAGCCTCGCCCATTCTGCAGGGTTTGATTACTGACAGTGCTTATATGTTTGCTCGTCTTAGCATTGTCCAGGTAAATGATTTGTGAAGTGAATAAATCCTCCCAGCAGGCCAAATGTTGGCCTCTCTGTTTAAAGATTGGGTGAATCCTTGAGAGGAAAATAAAATCAAAGCTTGATTGATTTGGCTTTAGGTTTTCAGATTTTTTTTTTTTTGAATGTCATATTCTCTTAATGTGGGCTTCAGGCCATATGGCACGGTAGAAAGATGCTACACATGGAGAAATGCTGTGGCCTTGGACCCCAAGGGCCTTGGCTTAATTAGGACATTGAACTTGGGCAGACCAAGGTATTTTCTTCTCATTCTTGGTTCACTGCAAAGCATTTTCCTTATTTTGGAGATGGTAGACGCCATCAGAGCAGCAGGGAAGATTCAAGCAAGCAGAGAACTAACCTGAAGGCTTACTGGGTTTTCTTTCTTTCTTTTCTATTTTTTTAAAAAAGATATATTTATTTAGTATGTATACGATGCTCTACCTGCATGTATACCTGCATGACAGAAAAAGGCACCAGGTCTCATTACAGATGGTTGTGAACCACCATGTGGTTGCTTGGAATTGAACTCAGGACCTCTGGAAGAGTAGCCAGTGCTCTTAACCTCTGAGCTTCCTAACCTCTCCAGCCCTCATTGAGTTTTCTGAACACTTGGATATTGTCCAGAAACTTGTCATGGAATCCTGTCTTAATCATTTTTCTTTGTTAAAATACCCTTTCAGTATTGCTACTCTTTGTAATTCAGAGCATGCTCAAGCCCACAGAACTTTAACTCCGGTGATCTAGGTCCCTTAAAGAAGGCTCTTTGAGACCTAGACCACCCCGAGGAAGAGGTTGACCAAAGCTCACAGAGTGCTATGCTCCAAGTGTAACAGCCTTGGATTTTTACCAGAGCTACTGAGACTGTTTGCAAGAGGCTGTTGACATTTCCTCGTAAAGAGGGTGGGGAGAGTCACTGGACCCTCACCTGGGATTCTGGCTGCTTCTCCTGCACCTCCCAGCCCACTGTACGTAATTCTGCCCTAATTGCACATGGCATTGTGATCTAGGGAGTGGATACAGCATGGAAAGTTAACTGAAAGGGGGATTTCACCTATCCAGTTATAGGCCTGTCATCATCACCTGCTGGGGTGAGAATCTTCAGAGGTGCAGCTGCTCACCTATGCTCAGTACACACAATAAATTAATGGTTCTCAGGTTGGACTTTGTGGGGCCATAATTTTTGGAAGGAGGGTGTGTTTCTGTCTCCTCATAGAGTGCCTGTTGTATAAATATTAGGGAGGTGGTATTGCTTTACAGCCTCCATGCTGGAGTCATACCCTCCTGGCTCTTCTGGAGAGGGTGTGGGGTGCACAGCCACAGGCTTTCCTGGCAGTGAAGCCCAGGAGCCTCTCTCCAGAGGATGCTTGTGCAGGCTCAGTCTCCTGGACCTCTCCTGAGCTTTTTCCACAGACAGTGAATCTCAGCATTATTTACAACTAGTTACCATCAAGGTTTCCTTAATTCCAATTGGTCTTTCCTCAGGTAATGATGAGTTGTTGAAATTTTTCCAGATATAGAGGTGATTAGCAGATACAATTGATTAGACAGGGCTTTAAGTTGAGACCCGATAGAATGATCCTAGGTCATTCGTAGAAGGTAGATGGCTGAAATGAACTCATGGTGAAGTCCTAGCTGGAGTATCCTCAACCCCAGAGAGCAGACTGAGCTGCCATGTCTATGGGGCTTGTAGTTCCATGGTACATGAAGACCCCATGTGTAATATAAACTCTCTCATCACAGTTGTTGGGTGTGGAAGGGTTGAGGCCAGGCTGTTTCGTTTCTTGCCTCTTTCATGTTCCTCCTTGTTAGTGGAGAAATGACCCTGCATGGAGGCATCACATTAGAACTTTGACAAGGAGCTTTTCTGAAATGGAGCTGTTAACATGTCATAGACATTTGAAAGGGAGTCTGCTTATTGAAATATGTTTTTATGGAAAACATTATAGAACCTATAACTGAAAATTTATGGCAGCATTTTGTGGCAGAATATGTTCCTAATGTTGAGTGTGGGTTCGCTCTGAGCCCCCTTCTGCTTCAGAACCATAGGCTGGATAGGCATTTTCCAAGAGTCTTTTCAGATCTAAACAGTGTTCCATGGAATGAAGTGTTTGGTGCTTAAATAATGTATAAATCCAGTTGGACAGAAGCTGCCTGTCAGTTTTATTAACTTTGACCTTTTCGCCCATTATAAAGGTGGTTCAGTTAATATTTAATGGCCCCTTATAGATCTTGACAGTTGGAGCCATGTTCCTGGAAACCAGGATCTTATATATGATTAGCAAATGTCACTTAATCATTATGAATCAGCTTGCAAGGGCAGGTTTTGTTTTGGAAGAAGGAAAGTTCTTTAACCTACATGTGCTGTGGAGCTGCCCTGCGTGCTGAGGGCCACCACGATGGAGAAGCTTCACAGGACCACTGCAAGAGACAGTCAGCATGCAGCTCTGCTGTTTTGGTTTTTGTTTGTTCTAGCAAATGATCCAAACGATGCAGGTGGGCAAAATCCCCTTGCCACTCTGCATAGTTAGCAGGGCTCTGCCTTGAAAAGAGTCAGCAGGGCTGGATCGGCTGAGCTTGCATGGACAAAGAAGATGGAGAGCCAGAGCCAGAACCAGAGAGAGAGAGAGAGAGAGAGAGAGAGAGAGAGAGAGAGAGAGAGGATTCCTTGGGCCAGGAGGCCCCTGCCAAGCTGTCTCTCCCTGCATCCCAGAAAGGCCGTGCTTATTGCTCTCACTGCAGATCTGGTGGGGAAGATCGAAGCCCCAGCAGCTGACGTTTTGAAACATTGTCTTTCAAACTTGTGCTGTCCCGTGCTCCCATTGATTTCCCATTTAAGGGATCTGTAGGAGAAAACCAAATCTGAGCAAAATTCATTGGTCTAAGATGAGTTGTTAGAGCCAAACCATGCTCCTCTCCACCTTTATCATGAAGGCCATCTGTCTTTGTCCTGTGTGCGTGGCCATAGACTCCCCAGCAGACCCACCAAGTAAATCAAGTGTCTGTGATAAAGCAAAATGGATGCTCCAAACTAGCCATTTCCACCTTACTGGGTCACTGAGTAGCTAGCTTCTCTTTTATAGCCTCTTGCAGGAGCAGATCATTTCAATCGTCTTTGTTTTCTCTCTGCGTGCAGCCCAGTGACATTAGGTGAAGCTATTTGTTTTTCAGCGCATTATTGCCCTTTGTATCCTGGTGCAGGCCTTTATATATGGTGGTCACCATTTCATTACCACAGGCTGTAATACAGCTGACTCAGCAAAGAAAATCCATGCCTTGGAGAAGCAATCGGGAAGAAATTGATTCAGAATGAGTTACTATTTGTATGTTTAGTTAATTCTAAATATATATTCGAAAGACCTTGCATCATTTGAGAGGAGAGGAAGAGCATATCGTTTGTTAGAAATGATCTTGGTCCAGATTCTTAGCTTAGCATTTGCACATCTGAGTGTTTGTGTATGTCTGTTCAGGACTGGGATACCTGTCAAGGCTAATTTTATTGTGAAGAGATTGATGACAGTTCTTAGAATCTAAACTATAAAAGCAGAGGGAGGTTACTGTCATATGTCACAGAGCTGTGCTTCATTTGGCAGTGTGTGAGACGGGGAAGTTGTTTTCAATCCAAATGTTGGGATGGCCAAAGTTGGGGGTCTGAGTGGGGTACCAAGGAGCTTTCTGCAGTGTTGAGGAGTCTTTGTCTTGAGTGGGGTATTGGTAGCACAGATCTATGCCTTTGCCTAGAGCAGTGGTTCTCAACCTTTCCTGCAACCCTTTAATACAGTTCCTCATGTTTTGGTGACCCCCAATCATAAAATTATTTTCATCGCTACTTTGTAATGTAATTTTGCTACTGTTAATGAATTTTAAATTAAATATCTGTGTTTTCCGATGGTCTTAGGCGACCCTTGTGAAATGGCCGTTTGACCCCCAGGTTGAGAACTGCGGGTCTAAACCCATCAGACGGTACTCTTAACTAAGAGTTAGAAGGTGACTTCTGTTCCGAGTTGTTTGGGTTAGAAGTCGGCAGTACTGGTTTTCTCCTCCGGGGAAGACAAAAATACCACAGTGACTGAAATGATCTCTTAGGTAACCTCAAGCTCAGCAGTTTGTCCAGAAGTAAAGCAAAGGATGCTTGCTGGCCCTGAGCCCACATCATGCATGCAGCTTCCTCTGCCTCACTGTTCAGTGGCCTGTGAGTGGAAATGAAATTACTGTCTCTGCCATTCTCTCCAGGGCCAGGGCCTGTTTTATAGGTTCTTAGCAGATTGAGTCCTGAGCTGGCTTTTAACCAAAAACTGATACCTTCACCAACAGGAAAAGTGACTTCCAGCCTTTGTGACCAGCCAAGTTGAGGTCGTGGCTTAACCACAGTCCAGGATCAGTTTTACAAGCAAGAGTTCCCTGAACTAACTTTGTCGCTGGGAAGACTGTTCACATCTTAGCAACACGAAACAGACTTTCCGACTACCCCATGAAACACCTGGGTGACTTCCCACAGCCACATCTCCCCGGTGCTGCTGGTAGTTAGAAATGTATGCTGCACTGTCTCTTGGTTCACAAAGAAAGCAACTTGCTTTCTCTATCAGTGCAGTGGTGCTCTGGAGTCCTTTGATATTTTAACCACTTACAGTTGTGTTCATTTTCACTGGTGCATTATTGCCATGAAGAACAACTTTGCCTCTTTTTGTCTTCATCTAATCCTCACTTTAGAAATAAATTCCTTGCAGCAGAGTGTTAGCAGCCGTAGCTGAAATAGCTTACAAAATGTGTACTGCAACAGAATGACCTGGGATTGATAGTCTAATGCCTGCTGCCCTGCACTGATGGGCTGTTCTTTCCCTCTTGTCTCCGCAGCTGCAGTACCACGCAGGTCTAGCATCTGGCCTTTTGAATCAACAGTCCTTGAAGCGCTCTGCAAATCAGATGGGTGTGTCTGCCAAGCGGAGACCGAAGGCCCAGCCAACCACTCTGGTTCTACCGCCTCAGTGAGTGAAGGGTTTGTTGGGAGCTGGATTTCCACCTGGATTAACTTTACTTTGTGCTCTTTTGGAGCTGGTAGGAAGGTTTTGTTTTCTTCCGCACAGTGTCTTCCTTTTTGAAGGACTCTAGCAGGACTAGAAAGCATAGCTTGCCTAAGGTTTTCTGGAGCAGCTGTGACAGTTCCTTGTTGACATGTCTAGTGTATAACTTTCCAGCTGGAAGTTTTAGATGCCTTATATCTTACTGTTTCCTCAGCCCCGTCCTGAAGCTGCCAGAAGTAGAGCTGGCCTGAGTGCATTCTGGTGAGCACAGGCCCAGAGGACAGGCTTAAGCTGGGGTAGCATTTGAGCTGCACTGGCTGCTGCCTTCTCCTAGTAACATGTGTGCTCTTGCTTCCTCACTAGCAGGGACAATAGGCACAGCAGACCACATGGTGCCTTTCTTCTCCTGTGGACATCTCTGTAGCCACCAATTCCAGACCCTAGGAGAGTCCTCGGGTCCCAGTCTGTACCCAGGCTGCTTTTAACCCTATGCTGAGTACTCTTCCCACTTCTTCAAATGGTTCATTTTGGCCTGGTGTGGTGGCCTGTGCCTGTGAGTCCCAGCACATGGGAAGCAGGAACAGGAGGATCTCTGTTTAAGGGCTACCTTGGGCTACATAGTAAGATCCTGCCTCAAAAACAAAACAAAAGCAAAAATTTGTAAGAACAGCAACAACAAAACTCCACAATTTTCCAGCCTTGAACTTTATATAAGTAAAATCATATACTGTCATTTGTACTATTTCTATGTGTGTGTGCATGCACACATGAACACAAGTGTGTACAGGGGAATTGGACCCAGGGCCTGTGTCTGCCAAGGCTGCTCTTTTCCACTGAGCTATTTCCCTAGACGGCGGGGGTGGGGGGTGGGGGCGGGGAGGAACGGACAAGAATATCTTGTTTTCTACTTGGTATAATATTTGTCATCTCAGTTGTTTCACCAACTTGGCTGTCAAGCTGCGTGCTGAGAGGCCTTGCTGGTAGGTTCTCTCCCAGTGTGCACACTCCTCAGAGGGGACACACTCCCAGAGACTGTGTGTAGGCCTCAGATGGTTCCCATACTACCATTCTTTTTTTTTTTTTTTTGAGGTTGAATACTTATTCAGGGGGTTATGGAGGGGGAAGGAAGAAGGGGACCAGAGAGAGAGAGAGAGAGAGAGAGAGAGAGAGAGAGAGAGAGAGAGAAGGGGGAAAGCGGAGAAGTGGGGAGAGAGGCAGAAGCGAAGCTGCCTCTCCGAGAGGAAGATGGAAAAGAGAGTCCACGCCATCATTCTTTACCCTCTCCTTTGCTCCTGTCCTGGGCTGTGAGCTGCATCTTTCCATGGACTACTCAAAGGGTCATTTGCACATAAGATATGTGTCTTCATCTTTACTAAACAGCTCACTGGTTTTGTCTGGTTAGCATGATGCCTACTATGTGCCAGGCAAGGTTCCAGTTCTTGAGGCAGTAATTACGAGCAAGATGGCTTCCAACACCATAGTTTCCAGTTATAATTAATACTAGGAAAAGAATGAATAGGAGTAAAGTGGAGAGGAGAGGCCTGCTTAAATAGAGTGGTCAAACAAGAACTCAGCTTGCCTTGCCCTACAGCACAGAATGAGGAAAGAGAAGGGCTGGGGAAGGTCACTGGGGCTCTTTCCAGCAGCAGGCACATGTTCACAGGTGTCTCCATGTTCAGCAGACCCTCTCACAGTCTGCATCGGCCAGACAAGGCGAGCATGAGCAGTCTCCCCAGTTGTTTTCATATGCTGCATGGGTATACGTGTGCTGTGGTCTTTGAAAAGACTGACTTGAGAAGCAGAAAGCTTCTTGCAGAGCGTTACTCTGTTGTTGCGTCTTGTTGACTCGGTGACTCTGCATATCTCAGCACGCAGCTCCCCAAAGTCGGATGGGCCTTGTAATCTGTCATTTTCCCTGCATGGATTGTCTACTGAGGCAAGATGTTTGGCAAGAAGTGAAAGACTTTCTAATGGTCCCATAAGACCAAAGCCAAAAAGTGTTTGTTGCTAACTCTTTCCTGACAAAAGTCAGTTCTTGGTCCATCTGTTCACCATTTGTTAATTTGCATTGGCTTGAAACCTGTTTACAGGTGACATGCTATTATGAGGACACTTAGAAGCTATTTTAAGCACCGAGGCAATCAACAGACACTGTTGAGATGCCAAAGGGAAAGAGAGAGAGGAGTATTCACAACTGTCATCATACATTTATAATAGATCACTCAAAATACTTGGTTTCAAAGTGAGAAGTGGTAACAGCGTCCTAAGAATACAGCAGCAGAATGATTTCCTGTCCGCTGGAGCCATTTCCTGCGGAGATCGACTGTTCTTTCACATCTCTCCTCTCGGGGCTCTCAGCCTCCTGGAACCCCTTCATAGAACTACTGCCTCGTAACAGGATCTATATCCAGACTCCGCTCAGTCTTCAGTGTGTTTGATGTTGGCTAGGAATAGGACGCAGCATAACTGTGGCCTGCTGGAGTAATTAATTTTTCTTTAAAAATTTAAAAATAAGTACAAAAATAAAAGCTGTAAGTAATAGATGTGTAATGTAGATGTAAGGAGAAACCCAAAGTAGCAAATACATCACTCCATCTCTAGGAAGCCCCTTTAAAGTTTGGTGGGTATTGTTCAGACATCTTTTTTCAACACACACACGATTATTTTTGCATATAAAACTTTCCATAAGGGATCAGACTGCACTCTTGTCCTCTTCCCTGTGCTAGTGTGTTGTGGTGGTCGCTGATGGAGAAGGCGGCATGATGTGCTCTCTGAGGTCGTCAGATCAACATCTTAATATGTAGTGGCTGTGCCTGCCTACAGGGAGGTCCTCATTACAGCATCCTTATTATAAATACATTGTCACCATAAGTTCACTTTGTTCTTAAGAACATTCTTGAGAAAATTCCCAGCACTCGGAAGTCAGGGGCAGGCAGATCTCTGAGTTCAAGGCCATCCTGGTCTATAGAGTGAGTTCCAGGACAGCCAGAGCTATGTAGAGAAATCTTGTCTCGCAAAAACAAAACAAAACAAAAGAAAGACAGAAAAAGAAAAATTCTTGAGCCCCCTATGAAACACCCAGATTCACCAAGGTTGCTATATTAACTGCCTATCTCCCCACCCCGAACATCCTCAAGTTATTCTTTACCTATTGCTGTCAGATAAATTCCTCCTGAACATAGTGTTATTGTTAGCAGTAAGAGGTGTTCTTTGTCCTGTCATCCTGGATCAGGGTTGTGGGTGGCTCGCCTATGCAATCTGCAATCTGACTCAGTATTCCGGTATGTTCTACTGAGACACTGGCTAGGGCCATAGTCATTAAGAGCTCAGCTGAGGTCAAGAGAACTGTTCCACCAAGGCCACTCAATGACCCCAGCTGTGTCCTCTGACTATGACCTTGGTTGATGTCTCATTAGAACATTCTGAGAGAGTTCAGCTTCAGGCAAGCCAGCGTTGGCTGAGAACAGGAGTTTGTGTTCTTTCTCACATCACAGGCTTCTCGAGTGTCCTCGGGTATGGCACTGGCTTCTCCAAAAGCAGCCAAGAGGATGAGCCAGGAGGAGGTTGTCCTTTTCCAGCTTAGCCTCAGAGTATCTGTTGTCTACTGTTTTCTGCAGTAGAAATGAATTGCTCAGTCTAAATGGCCTTCAGCAGAAGGGCACAGACATGCTCTATAAGAGAAAACATGACAAGAAACGTATGGACAGGATTTTAAAGCTTCCCGTTGCCAGTGGAGACACTGTAGGGAAGGATGGCTAAGAGCAGCCCCAGTCAGGTCCGTTTACTCTGGCCCACAAGGTCCCACTCTGTGCATCAGGCAGGGAGGACTGAGGTGTCCTCTTGACTTTGACTTTCATGAGACTAGAGACAGGTGAACCAATAACTCACAGGCATTATAAGAGCATGTGCCAAGTCCTGTAACAGACAAGCTCTGTAGTCCCAGTCAGGGTGCTGTTGTAGGTGCTCCCTACAAGCACAGGCAGTTGTTCCCTCCATCACCCTACAAGAGACTCTCGAGATCGGGCTTGTTGGCTGTTGGGATTCCCTCACAGAAGAAGGGGATGGGAGTTACCGAACCCTCACTTGAGGTTCTGGCGGTTCTCTTCTATACCTCCTGGCCATTTGCATGGAACTCTGCCCTAGCTGCACTTGATCTCGTGGTATGGAGTTGCCAGAGTGTACTGCGTATGGAAGTTAGCTGTGTTCTGGAAGTCATCATCCGTCCTGGATGAGACTTTGCTGTGTGCATGGTTGCTTTGGGAACACGCATACTCTGAAGCTGGATTAAACTTAGTGGTTCCCCAGGTTGGACTTTTTGTGGAATTCAACTTTGGTTTATTCTTGGTATTCTGTAAGGAGAGAGTAGGTGTGTGTAGACAGGTCCCCCAAGCAAGAGAGTTCCTGTGTCGGGTACCGGAAGGGATCCTCTTATGGATCCCATGAAGTCTCACTAGATTTTCCTCCTAGCAACTTTGCCAGGCTTCCAGGTTTCTAAGCTAGGATGGATTTTAACAGTGAAGAAAGCCCCAGGGGCTTTTTGGGGTCGCTTCCTCTCACAACCCCTGTACTCGCCCTGTGCAGCCACCATAAACAGGAATGTGGGACAGGTGTAGAATGTGCTTCACATGTGGTGGCTTGGACAGTAGTCACCTGGAGACGTGATTGCTCCTGTGTTCCCTAGGATGAGTGAGTGCTGGGATTAAAGACACATTCACACCCCTCAAAAAGCTTGTAAAGAGATAAAATTGTTTCCACCGAATGGAGTGTGCTCACAGCGTGCTGCTGAGCACTCTGCCTCCAGCCGTCTGCAGTACTTCTCCGCAGTGGCATCTCTGGCAGAGGGTGCTGTCCGTCTTGAAAGAGGCTGTCTCCCTGTTGCTGGGAAACATTGCCCATTGGCCCCCTTTGGATTGAAGTTAGCTTCTAGAGTGGCTGTCTCATTTGTTCTGGATATCTGTATTTAT